GGACCTAAGTGAAAGGTTGAACAAGTTGCTAAAAGACTAAAACAGCCTTCCTCCATTTCAAATCTACCATGCAGCCATGGAACATTCCAAACCAATCCAATACCTGCCGGTTCCACTTCCAATTTCATTCCAGCATTTTCCATTTTGCTATTGCCGACCAACTCCACTCACAGCCTCACCTTATATACATTACACTACTAATCACCACAACATCACAACTCCAATTGCTTTTCTGCCGTAAACTGTGAGGGAGCAGCATAGGAAGTATCGACTGGGAGAGAGTGAGAAAGAGCCGAGCTTCTTGTTTCTTTTCTTTCTGCCCGTAAACTAGAGAGGGAAGAGAGGGACTTGTGATTCAGTCTGCCTACCATCCGTGAGCTGGTGCAGAGCTTGAGACCAGAGTTCCTTCATCCAGCCGCAAGCCAGAGCAAGGGAGAGAGGAAGAGCTAGCGGTCTGCATTTTTTTATTTCTGGACAGCCGAGAGTGAGAATTGTTGCAGCTGCTAGTCGTGTGTTTTAGGCTTCAAGCTAAGGTAAATTCTGGACTTAGATGAATTGTTTATGGGTTGATGCAGCTCTCTATACGCATGCATGTGGGTTTGTGAGGTTAGATGAGGAATTGAGACTTAAGAAATCTGGTTTGGAAGAATTGAAGCTGCCGAAAGTTTGAGCTGGAATTTGTAACTCTAATTAGCTAATCTGTGATAATCTGAGCCTAGATGCACATTTAATCAACTAAAACCTGGATGATTAAGATTTGCATGAAGGTAGTTAACCTTGATTAAGTCAGAAAATTGAAAAGATACAAAATCAGGTTGCATGCAAGCCAACCGAGAGCAGGATTGTTTGAAATTCTGATTGAGTAATGTTTTGATGTTGTCCGAATTTGCTTATGGATCAAAATTGATAGATAGTTTTTTTATTTGGTGTTGCATGTAAGCTACGTGGTCTGAATTTTGGTTGCATGGCTGGAAATGTTAATGGAAGCTGAAGGATTGCTGAAACAATTTTTCCAGTTTAGCCGTTGAAGTTGTTTTGGAAATTGCATGGGTATTTTAACATGAATTTTGCTGGAAAGTGGTGGATCTTCATTTGGTTAGGGGTTTGATTAATTAAAATTAGATGATTAAGCTTTGTAGGAAGTTTATTGGTCCGGCTAAGCAAGGAAAAAAAATGAGATGGCAAGCGGCTACATGCAAGTTCATCCAAGGATGGTGAACAGAATTTCTGGATTTGTGGATGATTTCAGTTGCTGACCGAACTTGATTTGAATTGGTTATGATAAGTGATTTCATTAAGTAGCCTTGCATGTTAGTTTTGGGTACTAAATACTGTGATTTAGCTGTGAAAATCTGGACTCTATGACTAATTAGTTGCTGGAATTTTTCTTAGATATAGCCGAGAGGAAGAAACAGAGTTTTTTCCAACTTTTCCTTTTGAATCTTTGGTATAAATTTCATATTATTGTTCAAGATGCTCCTTAGCATGATAATTGCACTTTGCATGTTGAGCTGAAATGGAAAAAAAAAATGAGGAATTATGGAGAAAGTTTCAAATTTAAGCTACCAATTGTTGGAAAATTTTATCCTAGCTGATGACAGATTTGTGGGGATTTATTGGTGGAATAATTTGCTGAAATCATTTATCATTTAACTCATTTCATGTTGGACAAAATGCATGCTAAGTGCCTAGTGATTAAGGCAAGCTAAGGATGGAACTCTTGTTGAAAATGTTGGTATATATTCGCTGGAAATTTCTATATTGTTGCTAGCCGTACTAGTTCAAGCTCTTAGTGAGTTATTTTTTTGGATTTGAGTATTGTTTGCTTCAGTTTAAGTTGAGCAGATTATAAACTATATGTATAGTGATTTTAGCAAGAAAAAGGGGAAAGTTTAATGGATATTTTGGATTCTTGGAATCATTTGGAACTCAAGTTGGCTGTAGTTTTTGTTCTTGTTTTGAATTAATTGGTGTTTGAAAGTGCGTATTGGTTGTCGAGAGCTAATGATTGATGAAGCTCTTGACCATTTGAGTAGTTTTGCAATAATTTAATTTTTGGTGAATTTGTTCAAGTGGTTGGTTGAAATGTACTTGGAAGATCCATGGGTTGTGATTTGGGATTGCTTTAGTACCTAGGACTTCCTTTGTTGAATTTTAATTGTACTGGATTTGATTGAGGCCTAGGGCTAATGATTGATGAAACCCTAGTAAAATTGATATTTGGCTTGTAATGTTTCAATCTTGGTGACTTGGGAATCCATTGTGCAAATGAGCTAGAATTGTGAAGATCGTTTTGGTTGTTTGAACTTGAATACTTTCAAATCAAGTTTCGTGGAAATACTTTGTTTTAATATCAAGTGATAGCATTTGAGGTTAGTATGTTATTATTAAAAATTTAGATATGGGGACTTTTAAAACCTTGCCGACTAGTTAATTCTTTTCTTTTGCTTAAACTAGTTTTATTACCTTTAGGGAATAATTGTATCTAACTTCTAAACTTTAAGTTTTTCATAAAACCATCCTTGACTAGTTGTTTTAAAGGAAATTTGGAAAAACACTAGATTTGAATAATTTCAAATTACAGACATAGAAAACTTGTTCGGCAAGAAAACTCGTTTGAACCAATTTGGTTCTAGTTTGCCTCTAGAGGGGAAATACCTTTAAAGAAACCACACGAAACATTTTATTCCTTTACTAGCTTTGATTTTTAGAAATTTATTGACTTGTTGCGGGAAATTAAATTAGTTTTATATAAGATAACTTTTTATAAAACAAGGGTTTGCTTAGTAAAATTTATAGTTTTTAAAACTTGGATTTCTAGGGTTTAGCGAGGACGCGCATTTCGATTCCCAGCGTGAGTTGTGACTTCACTCTTGGTGAGTGTTCTTTGTTTGTTATACTCCCTTGACTTATTGGCTTGATCTTTTTGCTTGATAATGTGTTAAACTTGATCTTATTGCTTGATAATGTGTTAAATGCTTTCAATGATTGTCAAAACGAGTTTTCAAGGCGAGTGTGTACTTTATCGCACTTAGCCTAAATGATTGTGAAATTTTAATGATTGAACGATTGACATGTTACTTGCGCATGAATGTAAGCCTTTTGGGCTGAACTGGCCATTGCCCCTTGTTACCGGTCGTCTCGAGCCAGAAGCGGACTCGGTCGGGCGATTAGGGACCTGAGTGAACGTTCCGGTATACTCGAGTATTACCTTGTAGGTTGGTGGAGCCTGGCCAAAAGCCAGGGACGGGGTGAATGAGAGGAATGAACGAATGAATGAACGAGGGATTTTACTTATACAAAATGCATTTTGCAAATGACTGGAGGAATAAGGGGAAATGTCAGGAGAACGAACGAACGAACATATGGCTCCCTGTGAGCCTGTATCCTTTTCATGAATGTGTTTATTGCTTTATTTGTGTTTGTATCTTGAATTATTGGTTATATGTAATGAATGCATCGATTTTCTTGTTGCCTATGTGTTCGGAACCTCACTGAGTTTTAGCTCACCACACGATATTTGTTTTCCTTAATAGGTTCCGGAAATCGAGAGACTTGAAGTGTATCTTATCATTTTGTAAATATTATTTCGAATCGTACTTGTATCTTTGTTTTGGGTTGTCAATTGAAGCTGGAAAAGTGCAAACCCTAAGATTTGGCTTGTATGAATTTTATCTGAGCTTTATGAACTTACTGTGTGGTTTGTATTGTATATTTGAATTTATGTGGTGATCTGGTCGGAGATGTATTTAGGAGTGAACGGGTGGATGTTCAATGGTAAGGTTATCTCTGAAGTTAATGTGTTTTAGTATTCAAGTCGTTTAAAAGTTGGCATGTTCGGATGGCGAATTGTGTTTTGGTTTAGGTTATACGTGGATATTTGGTCTGTTTGCTTGCGTGAGTCCTGGCGAGAGTTAGGCAGGCGACCCGCCAACCCTTTGGTTCGCCTTAGGGAGAAGTGGAGCCGTCATATATATATATATAGATATATCCCTCAAGTATAATAAAGAGAGAAGGGGAGTTACTGTAGCAGTCCAAATGGTTGCCACATGACTTCCCTTCTTTTTAACAAGTGGCATACTCCTTTTGAGGATGGTGATTTAAGTTCTTTTCTTTTTTCTTTTTTCATTATTTTTCGCCTTATTTTTTCCTTCCTTTTTGACCAAGACAAAAATCTACACAAATCCTAATGTACCGTGGCTTCATCCCTTCCCACGCTTTACCTCGTTACCCGCTCCCATGTTTTACACCTTTCTCTTTCAATGTTCTTTTTCTAAATGAGGCAAATTTACTAACATAGCTCATATTGTTAATTTTCTTTCTAAAATTTTGCCAATGTATTCTGATTTATACTTTTCACTGGAACATTATATGTTAAATGATGCTATTAGACTTTGAGTTGCGAGTTGAATGAGTTATTTTTTTCTAACGATATTGACACAGTTTGTCATGCTATTATTATATTTTCAAATAAGGACATGTGAAGGTGTATGTATTTGTTAGAATTAATTTTACAAAAATTTTTTCATGCTTTTTTTTCAGTTAATTTTTAACTTAGGACTGTCTTATTTTTGGGATAATGTTTCAAATTAGCAATGCTAAACGAAAACACTATCATGTTGAATCTATATTTTCCATATATTTAATTCTTATATTGATGAAATTTTTGTAAATAAAAATATAATTATATATATTTTAAACAATATTTTAGATGAGCCTAAGCTGTGCCTTGCATAAGCTGAAGTTTAGCTGACATTGCTTCTTTCATTGGGAAGGATTGCACTCGCTTGTAGCTTGAATATGCTGCCGAAAAATGACTCAAGTTTTTCTAGCAGCCGGTTTTCACTCTGATTTGTTTATAACAAAGTACAAAAAAAAAAAGCATTCTTCAATCACTCTGCATTCTTCACCTAATCAGATTAGACAAGTGCTTTCTTTGTAAGAGTTAGGTTGTAGTTCATAGAAATGTCAATTTTTGATAAGCTATCAGCTGTACTTTATCTTTTCATAGCCATTAGATTCAAATATAAAGTACTAGATTAGTTCAGATTGAATGGTCCAACTTTGAATAGTGCAGTCCACGCTACTACGTACACTAATAGTTGTTGTCCCGCTTCATTTCTCTTCCATTCGCACATACCAGAAACAAATCTTCCTTCACTTTCTTGCTTTCTGATCCTTTGGTAATACCATTTTTATTAGCTTTTCCTTCATCATATATATGCATTTTGTAACATATAGCTTCTTTTACATGTTTTCTGTTTTCACGTTGCAGCATTGCTTTTAGCTTTGAAGATTTGACTTGCACCATCACTTTACTTCAGGTTAGTCATATTACTCATAACTAGCCTGCCTAATGTTTGATAAAATGCTTGTTAAGCTTTCTTAATGCTTCATATTTACAAATTTCATAAGTATTGGTAGTTACTTGTTATTGAATTATATATTCTGTGTGCTTATGATTGTGAGCTCCGTTAATGAATTTTCAAGTAACATGGTTAGTCAGTTAGTCTAAGCTATTTGTTCATGTCAGCCATTTGATTGTCTGCCTTTTGTACTCTTATCATGTATTGGCCATTAGATTTGAATGATCATCTTTGAAGCAGTTTACTAACCCTTTATGTCTGCTTTTTAATGCTAAACAGCATGGTTGTGTTTGACACAGAAGGTTGAAGTTTACAAGACTTGCTTGTCTTCCTTTCGTCTCATTGTGCTGTGATTGTTGCTCATTCCGGTGGAAAAAAATGCAGTAGGCTTTCAGTTGCTTCTTTCCTTATTGCTTGGTCAGTTCTTATCTGCATTAAATTTCGTCACATGTAATATGTTTCTTTTTACATGAATGTTTAATGCTTGCCTTTTGTGACTTTTACCATATTATTGTGTACCTTACTTTCTTCTTCCTGCTATCTACTATATTTGCCATGCAGCTTTCGGTTTGTCTCTTTACTATTTTACTCATTGTCTCTGTCACTGCTTATTTCGCCAACATATGTTATTAGTGAAGCTTATTCTGACAGTGTAGATGGTTAAAATTGCTGAGTTATTAGTGAAGCATATTCTGTATCTTTTGTCCGAGAATAAGAAGTAATTTTAGCTTAACAAGGTTCAAAGTAAGAATGTTTGCATGGAAAAATAGTGGATATACAAGAAGAAAGAACAGGAATGACAGGAAGAGGGAACTTCCTGTGTTCCATCGATCTAAGTGAATACAGCTTGCATTATTATGAAAACATCAATGAAACATTTAATGCCTAGAAAAAGAGACTTTCAACATATGCACATGTAGATATATTGCTAATGTTAATTAGAAATGTAATATGAACTAACTAAAAATTTTTGGGCAAGGAGTTGCAACTTCCACACAATTTCAAATGACAGAAACATAACCCCAGCTAAGTGTCAATCTGAAAAGGCATATTGGACGTAGAGGTAGACCCATGGGGCTAAGGACAGGATTTGCCTTCTGTGCACTCAATTCAGGTGGGTGATGATATCTACAAGAAGCCCCAAACTTACAGTCCCTATATTTCATTTAATACTGGCATTCAGGTTGGCCAGGTCTTTCTGGAAAAGCATGTTCCCTCTGGCTGCTTCCTGAAGGACCAGCAGCAGGTGGAATGGATAGATACTGTCCTGTATATGCTGGAGCAGAAGGAGACAACTGAGATATTCCATAAATATGGCCAGCTCCCACAGCAGGTTGAGTACTTGCAGTGGCTGCAAGACTTACAGGTGTCTACAAAAGTTTACATTAGTCAATACACTTTAATAGGGACAAATATGAAAAGATTTTGACAAAACAAACAGGCTCAAATGCACATACTGGGTAAGAAGTCCAAGCCGGAAGAGGAACCATTGCAGGGGGAAGCAGCATAGGACCATATGTACCAGGGATGTATGAACCTGGAAGTAGAGTAGGCCTTGGAACTGGCCAGTTTCCAGCCACTACAACATACTGTTGAGATGATTGCACAGAAGGAGATTGCACAGGAGGATAAATAGCAGGCGCGGGTTCAGTTGCTGGTGCAGGCAGAGGTCCAGGTCCAGGTCCAGGCGCTGGTGCTGGCATTTGAACACCGGCTGGCTGTGGATGATGATATTTACAGGTGACACCATACTTGGACTGCCCTGTTTTCACATAATATGAGCATTCCTTTTCACCCTGTGACAAGAACTTTGTGAGCTAGCTCAGAAGGACACATGAAAAATATTGATAATCATAAGGCTAAAAATGAATAAGACGTCAAGAAGGAAAAGGCACAAAGTACAGACTGGTCGCAAAGGGTACCCAAAAAAATTAAGAGTCACAGGTGTTTGAGAGCCACTTCCTTGCCTTGGATGTTGATACTTGCAGGAAGCACCAAATTTGCAATTTCCAGTCCTCATGTAGAACTACAAGATTTAGTGAAGAACAGAAGCAACGTGAGATAGAAATTCACAACAAAAGCACATGATCGTGCCTCTGCAACATCAACTACATAAGCTATCTACTATATTTGCCATGCAGCTCTCGGTTTGTCTCTTTACTATTTTACTCATTGTCTCTGTCACTGCTTATTTCACCAACATATGTTATTAGTGAAGCATATTCTGACAGTGTACATGGTTAAAATTGCTGAGTTATTAGTGAAGCATATTTTGTATCTTTTGTCTGTTATATGCTTTCATTGCTCGTTTTTACGTAAACTTTTGCTGTTTCAACTTTCAATATAAAGCTGTTATATTCAATAAGTTTATTTATTATCAGGCAATATCTTCTGCTTTTCATTATTCGGTTCCACAGTTGATGAACCAAACGGGTAAAGTTGTTGAACCACATTCATGTGGTTATGCAGCAAAAACAGCTGATGTTAGCTATCTTAGCAACCATCAGTGTGCTGGTATAGGCATGAGGAACAATAGTTCTGCTTGCACACCAGAACAACTGATTACATTGCCTACTGAATATGTAGGCAGATCACAAACCAAAAAAACAGCTAAGCTTGAGCTGTTCTTCATCACAGAAACATACACAATCTACTCTGTTGTCTGGTACAATTAGCAGAGAGTACAGTCTTGTACATAATCAATCTTCTCATTCAAGCTCTACTACAAATTTGAGTAGAGATATGCTTATATTGCAAGCGGCTCCTTCGAGTAGCAATACTTCTATCCTTCTGGATAGACATCTAGGTAGTGTCTTCTATTCTCATGAAGATTGTCCTTCAGTTTCCATAGATTCTCATGGTACTAATATCTGAACTTCTACATATGACTTTTAGTAGTCAATAGTGAACCTGTTGAAGAATTAGCTAATCAAAGAAATCATGGTCAAAATAAAAGAAAACGTCCAGGTTAGCTTTGACCTTTATTACTGATTTAAATTCATAGTATTAGTAGGCATTTAAATTATTGGTTACTTCAGGTATTATTGCTTTTGGTTACTTCAGGTATTGTTATTGGTTACTTCAGGTATTATTTGTTTCTGTTATCCATTTAAATTATTGGTTACTTCAGGTATTAGTAGCCATTTAAATTATTAAATTCTATTATTTTTTTGTTACTCATTTAACTATTTGATTTGTGCATTAGTTTGTACATGCAAAATCAAATAGACACCTTAATAAATTTCAATCCAAATGGAAGATTGTCTATTTAAAAAATTCTATTATCATTACAATTTAGAATGAATAACTTACGTATATCCATTCATTTATACATATTTAACTTTTTAGCAAATGTAGTCTAAAAACTTATTTAAGATTTTTCACTTTTAAATAAATTTTTGATATCTTTACTTAGCTTTCAGCTATATTTCAGTAAAATACATTTCTTCCCATTTACTACTTTTTAAAATGAGCTATTTTATACCATTAAACAAAATTCCCTTTGCATATTGCTTTATAATAAGGTTGTGTTTGGATTGCATTTTCCGTCATTTTTCATGGAAAAATTACTGTAGCGATTTGATATATGTGAGGGAAAAAGGTGATAGGGAAATGTGATCACGGAAAACGACAATATTTTTCAACGGAAACAAGCAATCCAAACAAGGCCTAAATTTTCCACATTCCTTGCCACCAATCAATCTCAGCGGGCACAGCCCACCCCTACAGCCCTACTAGTTACATCTACCTAGTATATAAGAAAAGAGCCAGATTTAATGCTTTGCTTTCCTCTTGCCACGTGGTTTGTTATGTATCTGACAAGTGGCAAGTTGTTTAGTCTTCTATTTGTTTTCCTTCTTTTGCTATTGCCCCGTTTTCCCCTCAAATTGCATTCCCCTCAAATTGCATTGAAGACCCCTCAAATTGCATTGAAGCCTATTCTGTGCAGAATTCAGCCTACCTATTCTGAGCAAGTCAGTCCCAACCAGCTATGCTACCGCCGTTGAACCCATTTCTTGCCTTTGTTTTCCTTCTTTTGCTATTGCCCCGTTTTCCCCTCAAATTGCATTCCCCTCAAATTGCATTGAAGACCCCTCAAATTGCATTGAAGCCTATTCTGTGCAAAATTCAGCCTACCTATTCTGAGCAAGTCAGTCCCAACCAGCTATGCTACCAAACCCAGCATCTCTTTCCCAAATTGCCGTTGAACCCATTTCCTGCCTTTCCTCTACCGCACGGCTATTCTTAGCACAAATTCGGCGCATCTGTCCTGAGCAATCCCCAATTCCAGCCGTAAAAAGTTTTGATTTTCCATGATTTGAGCGATGGGTTTTGTGGCTTCCTTCTTTAAGCCAGCAGGTCAGCTGCTACTCCTGCAGCCGCTTCATTTGAACGGTAGCCGCTTCATTTGCTGACCGTTCACATGGTCTTTGTACTTCAGAGCAGCAGAATTGGGTGCAGGTCAACTGCTTTGCTTACACTAACTGTTTTTCCCTCTTTCTCTGATATCCGATTAACCCATTTCTGTATCAATTCCGTCTCATGTTGCCGAATTCTTGGAGCCCCACGTGATAGTTGTACTTCAGAGGAGTGAAATGGGGAACTTTTTGTTAGGTATGCCATTCTATTTTGATCAGCTTTGGTGTTCAATTTTCCGCCTAAATTATGCTTTCTATTCAACCTTCATCATCCGTATGATTACGATTACAATTATCTGCTTGGATGTGATTTTTCCCTTATTCCAGTTATGCTGCGAAGTAGCGTTCCTATCCACTTAGCCTGTACCTTTTCCAGCGGCTGACGAAATGGGATGCACGTATTTATCAGTGCATCGTGCTGCCTTCTCTGCCTTGTGAGCTGCAATCAAAATCCTCCGACCCTTTACACCTTGTTCTTTGGAGCCTCTCTGGTGAGAAAAAAACTCCCCCTTTTTCCCCCCAAATTTTCCTCTTATGAATAGTTCTCAGATTAATAAATTCTAATATACAGATATATGTTTCAATTCATAGGTTCCTTTTGCTGCGGTTCCTTCGACCAACCTTTTAACTTGAAGGTCAGTTTGCTGTCCTCCTTCAATCTATCCACAGCTTTTCTTTTTTTGAGTGCCTATATTTTCATAAGTGAAATTTCACCTTTCCCTTTTCTTTTTTGTAGTTTTTCTTCAGTTTCTGCTTCATTTATTTTAAGTTTATTGGTGCTATTTGTTTTGTGTTATCCTTTATGAAACAAACGATTGCTTATTTGAGCAGGTGATTTTGTTAATTTGAATATTTGATTAAAAAACTTTCTTATAGACATAGCCTTACAAAATTATTGCTGAGTACCAGTTTAAACGATGAATATTGGGTTGTAAAGGATGCATTATAGGGTGTGTGGAATAGTTGATTGTATGCTATCTTTATCATATTCTGGCCTTAAACTGTGAATGGCATATAGTTTAGAGAATGATAAGTTAGAGTAATTTATTTAATTTTAAGATTGAAGGCATAGGGAGCTGGAATTTATAAGAAAGGCTTTAAAAGACAAAACGAGTTTAAAATAAAATCACATAATATTTTAATGTTACAGACCTATTTTGGTTGACAGTGAATAGAAGGCATATACTTTTACAAAAGCTTAAAATGGTTAACTTGGAAAATATGCAGAAATTAGTGGCATTAAAATTTTAGCAAATGAAGCTGTCATAGACATTGAATGCCTGTTACTAAAATTTTAGCTAAGATTTCAGCTTGACTCTAATGTATGATCTTCAGGTAGCTAAAGTAAGCAAAAGCTCTCGAAAATGTCAAGTCATATTAGACAACAGGCATTCAATATGTCTATGACAGCTTGATTATCTCAAGCTTAGATTTTTTTTTGGGTTGGTATCTCATGCCTAGAATAGACTAAATAACAATTTTTTGCTCAGAATTAAAAGCTGTTCACCCATTTGCTGATGTTATTCTAAGTAACTGAGCTGTCCTATTGGTTTGCATATAATGGGTGTTCTATCGAATCAGCTCACATTCCAATGGCCATCACAACTGCAGAAACCAATGAAATAATTCCAGACCTACAAGCTACTGTCCTGCAGCCTACCAAGAAGACTGAATTTTTCAGTCCATCAACCAAAAAGATCCTTGATGCCATTGCTGAATCATCTACTGCTGCAAATGAACTGCCGCCTGCAGTGACAACAGCAAAGAGGGCCTTGGTTTTTGGAACTGTGCCTCCTGGAATTGGTTTGGATTCTGCTGAAGCTAATACACCTACCTTGCTGTCCACCAATGCACCTGGAAGTCCCTTGAAGAAGCAGCGTGACGATGAACTCTGAACTTCCTTGAAGCCTTTTGAATTCTTCATTTTGCTAATGTTAAAACACTTTACAGCTGCATTAATATTGACATCCATTAAGAAATTGTTCTTTTGTGCACCTTAATGGATCTCAATATGTGATCTTTTGTAATTGCAGCCTATGATTGCACTTTATATTTGAAGATGTTAGGCTATTTATGAAACTACTTGTCAACCTTTTGTCATCTTCTTTTATCTGTTGCAATACTAATGATTGGTGATGTTTTGTTTAGTCTCATATTCTTAGCTACATACTTGATTGGTTATTATTTGCTAACAGATTATAGGGGGCCTAGGCTGTGCTTAGCACAGCCGATAACCCCCTAGTATATATATAAAAACCTAAGGCTTCTTCTCCCACGTTGATCCACGTGGCAAAATATGGGAGAGAAGCAACTATTGTGTTTTTTTTTCCGGCAATAACCTCATAAAGTGTACCCTGGTCTAAACAGTTGATAACTATTCTAGGGCATTTTTGTCCTTTTAATTAAAATAACGTGTTTGTCCTTCTAAACATAATAGGCATCCAGAACAGTAACTCACTATTTTGGCTGAATTTTGGTTTTTCACCTGCACTTTTTCTTCTGTTCATCCGCGTCTTTCCCTTCTTCCTCTGTACCATCACTTTCTGCTTCTTTTGACTTTTAGTTTTAGCCTACCATCTTTCTGCTTCATTCCTGTTTCTTTCCTGTCTATTTCTTTTTCCTCTCATCAGACGAAAGGAAGAAGCTGCAGTTCAACTGCTTTAGCAGATAGTGTCTTCTCCTTTATTCAATGTCAAATAAACTCTTTTTTTTTTTGTAATTTCTTGCTCAGAATTTGCTTACCCACAGGATAATTCTACTTGGAAGGAGGAAAATGGGGAACTTTTGGTTAGATTAGGTTGTACTTCTTGGCCAAAAAATCAGCAAATTTTTCCCCAAATTATGCGTAGCCTTCAGATTCATCTTATAGATAATTCTTTCAGGATGGCATTTTGGGGAATATTATCCCCCAACTACAGCCGACTTTGTGGCCATGGGGATGCTTTTCTTCTTTGCTTGGCTTGTATAGATAAATTTGAGTCTTGGTTTTGATTGTCAAAATTCATTTTTTTTCCTATTTTATTAGTTTCAGTGTTGTTGAATGTGTTCTTCTAAACTTTTAATACAAATTTAGCCCCATTTTAAATATGATTACGACATGTTTTGATCCTTTCGATATTACTCTAATGACTAAAATAAGTTCTTGAATAATATTTTTCATTCTCTAAACATTCAATGCATTGCTTTTTAGTTTTTTTTTCTCTTCTTATTTTATGACTGACAACATGGAAAATTTTCAGGAAAGTATTGGAGGATTTGGGTTTTTTTGAATTTCCCTTCTCCAAAATTCTGTTCCTTCTACTTGAAGTTGGCTTGAAGGTAAGATTTTTTTTCCCCTTTTGTAACTCTTAAGAAATTTAGTGAATGACTTCTCTTTATGGGGACAACCATTCTACTAAAAGCAATTTGTGTTCTTTGTTCTCTGTTTTACAGATGGCTAGCTGCCATGGAAGCAATCATTCTACTGAAAGCCATTTTTACATTTTCTCCTCTGTTGTACAAATGTTCCTTTTCTTTCATGTAAAAAATAATATTTTAAGCAGAAGGTGAATAAATGTAATCCCCAAAAATTGGTATCTTCATTGTAAAGGTGTATGAATTTTATACTTTTTAAATGGAAAGGATATTATGTAATTTCATTTAAGAAGGTTCTACCTTTGCTTCTTTATTCTTAGATTAAACATTTACAAATGCAACATAGTATAGGATCTTTTGAACATTTACAGATGCAACATAGACTACATAGTATAGGATATTTTGATTTTCATTGGAGAGATGCTACTGCTAGAAAGCAATAATTTACGCACTTAATATTTTCCATATCTTGCCAGTAAATGTATTTGGCATGCTATGTTTACAACCTGATGACCAATGATGCAAGCAATCCACAGAAGTTTTTCAATTATACCACTGAACTTAATAAAATTTTCAACAAGAATCTCTAATATCGGATTTCTTTTCGGCTAATACTTTTATCCTCTAGCCTAAAAATGCTTTTAAAGAATTTTACACTTAAAAAGAAAAAAGAGCAGCAAATAATAACAGTATTTAGGTTGTTATTTCAATTAATAAAAATTAAAAAATAATGTTCAACCATTTCTTCAATTTTAATAGATGGGCGTGAGTTATGGTAAGCACTTTATTACATTATATACATCTACATAAGAATTGTCACTACTTACAATTTAGGTGCTTTGAGCCTCTGAATTATATTTTCTACACAATATGTTGGGAATTGGTTGTGCTATTGGATTTAGATGAATGATTATTTAGTCTGATGAGAATTTTGAACCTTTTCAAATGGGTAATTTATTTCTAATTTAGAATAAAATTAGATACAATTGTGCCCAAGTTTAAAAATAAGAGTGGCAAGAAATTTTTCAATATTTGTTACACAATAGATTGGGCATTGGCTATGCAAGGCACAGCCAGAACCATTCTAGTATATATAATGTGTTAGGTGGGTGACAGGGTGGGAATGGGGTGGAGACATACTCCCCGGTCTCCTATCCCGCCCCGGCGACACTCGACCCTAGACTTACGTGTTCTGGCAGATCAATCAACAAGCTATCATTTTAATCGCTGAGTCCTAAAAAGGGATATTATGCCTCTAGAGATGAAAATCAAGCTATCTTATGAGCTACACTATTTTGGAGTACAATCATGCGCAAATGCTAACTTTTTACTGAATCAATTGGCATGTCAGGAGATAACCGAATCGAGGAATGAAATAAAATTGAACGGGCATGGCAATGGATCCAATAGGTGAGGCTTACTAGAAATTGATATAATATTATATCAAAAAAGGAAACTGATATAGTATTGATTGAATACTGATGTCATATGTCAGCCATCCATTGCATGATTATCCATTAATGAAAAAAATTCCTCGTTCCTGTCAAACAGGGGTGCAGAATTGGCTCTAGTTACCGTAAGGAAATCAACATGACAAGCCAGAAATTTTAAGTGTGAGGTCTCAAACTCGGGACTTCCCACCTATATTCTCATCATACTATCCAATTTATCCCTTCGTCTGACAAGTCAAAATTGATTCTCTCCAAAAAGGTATGGTAGAACATAGGTCAAAATTAGCATAGCAAATTATAATATTGAAAAATTTAATATGCATGCCTTTCATGTGAATGCAATCAAGTTTCAAGTATGTTTGAAAACCATAACAATTTAGTTAATTGGATGAGCATGCCAATAAGCCACGAATTAACATGCTTAACAATATAGAGATGCTCTAATATGATATAAACAAATAAAAAGGTCTACTAGTTTAACCGTAAACAGAGTTCTCTCTAACCATGATTGTGTTACCAAATTTAATCCCTTGACATCCAAGAGTATTCCAGTCTATGCGTAAGTAGAAACAAATTTGTATAGATAGAGTATCACGGAGTTATTTATATGCCAGGCCATGAATGCTTCCTCAGGACCGTAAATTCAGAATTGAGAATATTGCTGTATAAAGTCTTTAATATACTTGACAATTTGATTGAAGATATCAAAATATTTTTACATACTAATGAATCAGTCAGGATACCAGATGCAGTCATGTGGGTCACTTTGTGCCTATAAGCATGCTACATTTGTATGATCAGCATTAATGGAAGGAGCAGAACAATGAAAATATGCAAATTGTGTATCTCAATGTTCTTTATGATTTTGACGTCCATATTATTTGAAGAAGTCGACCCTGTGCTCGGTCCATCCTTAGAAAATAATTGTGAGAAGATAAGCCTAATGTCATTATGGTTTCTATCGATAGAAGGTGTTTAGCAATTCACAGCCTTTAGTGTTGCACTTTGTTTGTTTGACTGTCGTAGCTGAAGAGATCCATGGAATCAATGCTTCTGTTAATTTCCACAGATTAATAATATTATCCATTTTTTTGTGGGTATTTCGAATTTTCTGGACTTTTAATTTGAAGTACTTGACAAACACATATCGACTAAAGAAACCAAAACAGTTGATATACATATGATCATGTTTTTGCTTAGAACTGATTGTCACCTTTGCATTCCAGGGAGCCGGAACAAGCACTTCAGGAACTGCTGGTGAAGCAGAGCAGGTCATTGAATGACTAGTCTCCTACTCCACAACAGAGTTGCAACCACCATTTCACGACTATGGCTCCGCCTCTGTGAGGTTAAAGAGATTTTGACATTGTCTATTGGGAAAGCTAGTAAAAGGGATGGGGTTGGATAGTTGGATCCTTAATTAATGTGTGTGCCTATTTCTCATAAGAATAATTCGCACGGACTCCCGTACGAAACATACTAGTATTTCTAGGTGACAAGTGTGTATTTTGTGAAACTATAGAACTGTCTTGTGTAATAGATATGCAAAATTGTGCCCTCCTAGTCCTGTTTATGATTTCAAGTGTGCCCTTCTGGAATTCCCGTCCGACCCCCAACTCCTCTTACTTGTATGTCAAGCAGCAATGCTGTTAGCAATGGCTCTGGCGACCTACATTAGTTATGTAGCTAGATAGAAGCATATTTTATTACAAGATACATTATTTGTCTAGCTAGACAGAAGTATAATTTATCTAGCTACATTATTTTCACCAGTTGCAAACCTTAAACAAGAAGCTCAAAAATGCTTGTTAAAAAAATGTGCAACATGAAAAATTGACACATAAGGTGATCATCATGTTAAAATTTCAATGTCTGTCCGACCAAGTATTATACCACTTGCAAGCCTAAATGTGACTCTCAAATGGTGGTTTGAAAAAAAAAACTCATATAGTACAATACAAGTATAAATCATGACACCAATAAGGCATGAATCAAATTGTCAAGGTTCCAAAAATCTTTCCCATACAATTTGGAGCGGACTAGGGGTCCGGGGACTCCTTGACAAGTTGGATCATTTTGTATGTTAATTCCTGCAACTCAAAATTTGCCTATACCAACCATTAAGACTTTCAAGAAAATTTGCTTTTTCTAATTGGTTCTAGGCAAATATTAGATATTGCTAGCCTCAACTCCCAAGCTATAACAAGTGTAGGGGAAACATAAGCAACAAAAATAAGACCATGATCAATCAAGATCTTACTTATGTGATTGCAACCAATCACATATAGCTTAGAAAGGAAGCGTGTAGTCATGGACCTCTGTCGCCCCAAATTGGGAGTACATATCCAAAGCAGCAGTTCTGACTGCGTCCTCAGAAGCTAAGCCATGTCAAATAGCAAAGCGATGAGCGGACTTTGATATGCTCAGATCTGCAAAAAGAGAGCAGGCTTCAATAAGATTCAACATGGTAACTGTGTTAAGATTTTCTTCAACCAGCTTCATCTCTCGGAAAACAGCAATTGCTTCGCCAGGCATGTCCCAGTAAGTGAATGCTGCAATCATTGTGCTCCAAGTGATTGCATCTCGGTGCTTCATCTGACTAAACAAAGAATTATTAACCAACTGATTTGATTCATAACCTTTCCTAAGTACTTTGGAATGAATCAACGTGCATTGATACGGTAACATAAGATACTAGTAATAGTTCACGTGCTTTGCACCTGATTATAATATCCTAAAATATATAATTCTTTAGATACTAAAAATTTTGATCATCATGGATTAGCTGTTTTTTGGTGTATTTTTGAAAAACTTTAATGTAGCAGTGTATATGAAAAACCTTTTTTGAGTTGTTTTTGTTTGTGTATTTCTGTAACATTATATTTGAAAAACAGGAAAATCCAAATGGAGCTATGTTATTTATTTTATTTAGCCAGTTACTTTTTACAATTTTATTAAATGGAAAGTGACAAAAAGCATTCCAATGTAGTTAACATGTCTTTTAAGATTAAATTTGGAATCATGAACCAAACATTTTTTTGATTTATCGCTTAAACTCTAACATATCAAATATTGATAATATCAAGTTTAAACCCTGCATACTGTAATGTAATTGTACAGATTTTCACTTCAACTAAGAAACAAAACTGTAGTTTGCCAATTGCTACCATCTGAACATCATGGGGAGGCAAATTTAATTCAGCTTATAATTTATGTATCGACATTTTATGATAAAAAAGCAAGTATATCTTGTTTCCTAGAATTGGAATGCCAAATGTTCTATATTTTCAGAACAATGAGACATTGTGCTCAATGAAAGTAAGGTGTATGGCTATTATCCAAAAGGAGATATGGGTTTGGCTCTAAAATGGTCACATAAATAGCTAATTTATAATCTATTCTCTTTTTAGAACATGTAAGAGCAAACCAAATGATGCTTGCTGCAACTTTAAATTACTTTCCCATCCTAACTTGAGATATAGCAAACGTAGATTTATTTCAGTCATCAAATTTATTCATCACAAATTTTAATGCTTTCATAAGTCTCCATGCAATCTAATCTAAATGTCATGTTCCAATCTAATCTCCATACAAATTTTAACTTGATATTACCAAAATAGTTAATACCATGTTCTAATACGTTATTAAGGTGAGCTCATTTAAGCTGTTTGAACTTGAATTTTGGTTTACATTTGTACATATATTCGCATTACATTCAGGTGACGATTATATCCAGATTCTAACTAAAAATGAGAAAGAAGAAAAATCCTCGATGAAGATAAACATAAACAAACGCAAAAAGCAAAGGGAAAGATGAATAAATTTTAGATCACTATGGACTTCTCTTATTTGAAATAAACTTAATACACGTAAAAGGTGTGGAAAAAGAAAACCAACGAAATAATGGCCAACCATAAGAAAAGGACAATTTGCAACTTTGCACCATAATCCCTAACATTGTTGTTCTATCACTTTTCCCCTTCCATTAACACACGCTCCATTACTTGAGGATTGAAAATTACAAATAAAACAGAAAAAAATGTCTACTTCTAGACTAAATGGGGTACTTGTACTAAACCCTCTAAAAGTATAATGTACTTTTCATTTTAATATCTATCTTTCAAGTGTGTCAATTAATCCTTTTTAATCATTAGTCAACATAATTATGTTGCCAAAGCTACTGAAATGACAAAGATACCCCTAGCACTATTGCGGCTTTCTTTTAATGTATAATTGTGTTGTGAAAACAATTTAAAAGCCAAACATGTCCCTATATGCCTATACTGCTGTTGAAAACAGGAGTTAACCCTCACTTTGTTTTCAAGTTGCTAAAGATGGGCCATCGTGTACTAGACTTAACCCACTAAACAATTCTTTAGTTCAATCATTGACCTATGATTAATTGGAACAAAAGTAATTAATTATAATTTATTCCATGCAAAGAAAGAGATGCCGCCTTAATGAAATGTATAAAGGCCAACAACCATAGATAAACCACCAAAATAAAAAAAAAAATTTGCTAAACAAAAGCTTATTTTGAAAACAGTAATTAACCATTATCTTATTTCCAAGTTGCCAATGGTGGGCCATTATCTATAGACTTAATGCAATGAAAAATTATTATTTTGTTCCATCATTCACTAACAACAAGCTGGAAGAAAACTAATCATTGATTTAGCCCACGCAGAGAAAGGGAGTCATCTTCATGAAATGTTTAGACGCCGTAACAACCATTTATGAACCGTTAAAAACAAATACATGTTTATTCTAATTAAACAAAAGAGATCACAAAAACCAAACCAAATTAACTACGTAAGGTTAGAGGTGAGAATAGATATTAGCATAGTAAAATACGATACTATACAATTAGTAAAATTGAAATTTTGAGTATTTGAAAAATTGAACCAAATTCGTTTCTTGATTCTTCAGCATCAAATTGATGTCCATTTCAAAGTAAAATCAAGTTCAATAATATACTGTTAAACGCACATGCAATGGGTGAGAGAAAACTACATAATCCAATACTAGATATAAAAAGACTTGAAGTCAATGGTGACTGGGGAGATTATTAAAAAAAAAAAAAAAATTCAGCGTCAGTAAAGCAAGTTGCATTTCGTGACGGAAAATAGTCTGGTAGTACGTCGGGAGACAAAATTGATTATAAAGCCATCCACGAAAAGCAAATGACAAGAACACCAGACCAATTAAAAAAGGGTTAATTAAACTGCATACCTCGCAATTTGTTGATAGTTACACTTTATATCTCTTATATTTTAGTTATATACACTTCTCGTACCTCTAAATTATAGGTGATAAATAAATCTATTTAACTAAATTTATTCATATCCATCCATAAATAGTTAGATATGAATATTTTAATTTTTTTTATATGAATATATATGAATTATTCAATTATACCCATTTAATAAATGAATATAATTGAGAAGAAATTTGAGACTCGCGTTTGATTATTGCACTCATTGTTAGAGACTTTCATGCATTAATATTGTTGAATCCTTGTATGCAGTGGAATGGAATGTTTTATACCTGTTGCCAACGGTGTTCCTCTTACCTACGATATACCTCTTGACGACCAATAGAAAAGGACATATATTAACTTTTCAAACATGAGGATATCAGAAAGACTTTCATGCCTTACCCTTGGGGCGTGAAGACTGACTTGTTCTTCCACATATACAATTCATTGGAGGCAAAATAGTAGGTTTTTGGATTGATTGGTGCCGTACTCATGGAGAAGAAGCGATGAGGAAATATCTCAGTAGAGGGGAAGAAATGAGACGGAATAAAGATATTTTAGTCTTCTGGTAATCAAATCCTTGTACGACAGTAGAAATATTGATACTATTAGGTTATGTTACTTTTTTTTTTTTTAGTAATGTTACAAATTAAGAAACTACTTTTTCCAAAGATTCGTATGATATATTTGATCTAAATGCCTTGTTAAACAATTTTACGATAGTCCGTGCATATTTGGTATTATGACTATTATCGTTTTCCTATTTCTTGATTTCGTTTGCTTTCCTATTTTCATATTTCATGATTCTTGGGTGCAGGGAAACAATTTTTAATTTGATAATGCTACTAATTGGATTTGTAGTAAACATATTTGGGTAGTAAACTCTTTGGTTTAAAAAAAAAATTGCCGGGTAAGTTCTTCGACTTTGCCAGAAGTAGTCGTTGCTTGTATGTAGCAAAACCCTCGATAACAAGGCTTAAGATCAAGCAGTATGTTGCCAAACATTTCAAGGAAAAATTTGTCCTCGAAATATACAATTCAAATTGGGGAAGAAGGCATTAGTCTGCCCAGAGATAATTGTAGATAAAATAAACGTAGTTTGTGCATTGGTAACAGCCTTTTAATTATAGTTGGGCAAACCATCATTAAGCCAAATGAAACAAGTGGGGTTAAATGGAGGCATCAATTAGCTTCATAAACGGCTTGTAAGGCATGGAACTATGCATAATTAATTCTTCCAAAATGATAACGTGTGGTTTGCCATCTAAAGCACAAGTGAAACTTGGTATTTGGCCCTCACAGGGTGGTCCAGCGGTAAGCGGGTTCTTAAGAACTCTTGAGATTTTGGGTTCGAATCTTACTCTGGACTTAAATCCCTATGACTCACCCGGAGTCGCTACGTGGGATCGTGACGCACTCCTCCGATTTGATTTGCCAGCTCAGGTCCTAAGGGTTCGAGTCGGGGCATGCTCCGGTTGCACAAAAAAAAATTGGTATTTGGTTACTAAAATGCTCAAGCTTTTATTGACCTTGTAAACAATAAATATTAGACATAGGAGTATAGGACTAAAGTTTTTTCATTTTTACTTTTTAAAAAAGTCTACAGTTATATGTTTAAGGTTCAAGGGCAAGTATTACAATCCTCAAATATTAAGGGGTTAAAGTGCAATTGACCAGAAGATAGTACCAGCACCTGAGACAAAAGGTACCTTAATACAATTGTTGTATAACAATGTCGCAACTCGCAACTTGGTAATTAAATGACCTGAACTAAATGGGACTTCTAAGGCACATTCAAAGGATGAAAACCTTGTCCCATGATGCAGTTTAATTGGCAAAAACATTAGCTAAAAATCCGTGATGTTCCTAGTTCAATTTTTAAATCCTCTTTTTTCTCTATTCTTTTTTGTAAGGTTTATTGTCTTCCCTCAAAAAAAATAAAAATAAAAACCCAAGTTAAAACCGCTATTCCAGAAAACAAACACAAAAGAGCACTTTAGAGGGTAACAAGGAATTCACAAGACAAATGCATGTAAAAGCAAATCATGTACTATAGAACTCCAACAAAGACATCAAACATGAACCAACTGAAAAAATCATTAATGCAATCAACAAAATGACAATAGAGTGGCAAGAAATGTATGTATGTTCAGACTGAAGATTACCTGAAGGAGTTTTTTTCTTCGGTAAAATATAGAAAACCTTTTTGTGGCTCTGTCGAAAGTCAACGAACGACCCCATGATCTGTCGGCAAGCTGCCCTATGGTTGCGGCCAGATTTGGTCACCAAGGAGAGGGGGGGGGGGGATAGAGAGGGATGGGTTGGGAAAGGGAGGGAAGAGGAGAAGTGGGAAGAGGGGGAGGGGGAAGTGAAAAAGGGAAGAGAAGAGAAGAGAAGAAGGTGGTGGCAGCTAGTGATGATGGGTGGTAGTAGGTGGAGGGGAGGAAAGAGGAAGGAGGATGATGTATAAATTTTAAAAATTTTAAAAGTATCTCAAAAGTTTTAAAATTTGTAAAATCACCCATGATAGTTAAGTGAAAAGAATTTGAGCACCAAAAAGAAAAATGAAAAAATGAAAACAAAAGAAAAAATATTAAAGTAATAATAATAATATATCACTTGCAGGTTTCATGCGAAATTTCATATTAATTTAAAGTACAAGGCAATTATGTGAATATTTTAAAATCACAAGATGACTTATTGATCTTCAGTGAAACTACAAGAAAGTTTTCTGTATTTTATCTTTTTTTTTAAAAAATATTATAACATTACGTGTAATGTGATATATATAAGATGAAAAAAATGATTAGAAACTTTTCCAAGTGCTAATTTAGAATCCATTAAATCAAGGCGAAGTTGATACAACGTCTCTTTGCTCAATTGAAAGTGCAATGCTTTTTATTGATTATTGAAATTTTTATTCTCTCATCTCTTATCTTTTTTTTTCTTTGTGAATAACGCGTATAAGTTAAATTTTTCCTCACCAATTTTATCGGGGGCAAAAGTATGAATACGAAGACAATACTTTCATAAACTTTCATACTCTTGAGCAGACAAAACATTGACGAACACGGGGGTTGGTGGCCCGTGGTTCCTTCCAGTCCGTCCTAGTTCAGGATTCTAGATACCTAATCAGCCGTCGAAGGATGGATCGAGTCAACTTGTGATAGATCAGATACTGTCTCTCCGTCACCCTCCGTGTGGGACCTTTTGACCTTACCAGTACTTTTTTAAAATCAAAGTTGATGATGGACCTTACCAGTACTTGACTCTGAGATGCAGCAACCATTTCTCCAAGTTCCAGCCTCTTAGCAGTTTTCTGCAAAGGATTTTGGAATGAAATCCTTGAGTACCTCTGTGGGCAATCTGCTGCGCAATATTGGTTGAGCACAATAATCCGGCTTTTCTGGAGAAATCTGCTTCAAAGTTTTCAGGTGTGTGAGTTCAGCTTAACATTTTTTCCTCATCTATCTTTCGAAATAAAGTTGCTTAATTCTTTAATTCTCTAGCATAGTGTATAACTAGTCCGTTAAAAGATCTCATGTATTGTACCTTCAACTTTTGCTGGGTGCTTTTACTTATCTTGAATTGTCGAGTCAACTGTCTGTCTTCTTGGTCTACCTCAGGAGTGTTAATCATTTCCATTGAGGGGAATTTACAATCTTTTTGTTTAAACGATTAAAAAGATTAGGGCCACAAAATCAACCATTGTTCAGACAGATACGTTACAGCCAAATCTGTAGGCTAGCTATGCTTTGTGAGTAGAGATAAGTCGAACAATCGGCACGGTAAAAAGGCTGTACCTATTGTTATTTTTCCCAAAACACAATCTTAGATCAGCTCATTAGGGCAGTTATGTCTATCACACGCCGAAATCCCAAATCATTTACTTGGGATTTCGCAGAGCAATGATTACAGAATCCCGGCGAAGGAACATTTTACTAATGAACTATCCTTGTTAACTGGAAGAGCTTTTTTCTTGCCTTTTCCTGTCTTGGGCACCACAGTCCACATCTCTCTGACATTTCCAGAACCATATTGCAGTGCCTGTCAAAGGCGCGCACACGACCAAGAAGCTTTCTGTTGTTCTGACAGTTAATGAGCACCTGAGTGTTATTTTTGACACTCAACATCAAGACAGATAGAGTCCCAGTGTTATATTCTTCTTCCTCATTCTTCACACCATCCTCCTCCATTGGCCCGGTCATTTTCAACAAAAGAGAATTGCTTCAGCTCTCCTCCAATGGAGTGACAAAAAATTGGGCCATGATGTACAAAGCTATTACTACAGACTCTATACATTGGTGAAAACTTCATGCTTATAGTTCTAGGGACAGATTCCATTCTAAAGCAAGTGCATAATTCTCTCTGGTTCTAGGAGCTTTCCCCCAAGGTCGAACCACATGCTGTACAGAATCAATAATAGCACGCACTATATTCCGAGAAGTCGAAAACTTATATAGCCAAAATATAGCCTGCATTTCTTGCTTTCCATGGTTCATAAACTGTCACTACGAAAACACGTCTTTTGAACTGATGGCCAAAAGAGTTTGAACTCCAATGCTTTGCTAATCAACTCAGCTTTTCCTCCCAATTGTAGCTCCCTCTAAAACCTGCACTCATGTTTTGGACCTTCTGCCATACAGACTGAGAGACTCTATAGCCAAAAGTAAATGGTCAAAAGTTTCATTTTCTTCTTGACACATTACATTAAGAAGAGTAGTTGAAACCTGTAACCCCCATACCATGATTCTGTTCATAGTGTTTAGCCTTCTTCTACAAGCTAGACATGGTATAAAGGCAAATCTAGGAACATAGTTTTTGCCCCATACAAGTTTATACCAATATGCTTTCAGTCTCCAAGCTCTGAGAATCTTCATAGCAGACTTAACAGATAATGTGTTCGTGGAGCTTGTGGACAAGATTGTTTGATCTTGCATATCTGGAAAAGGTTTAAAAGGATCAGGGGTTGCTTGCATCAAGTCTCTGACATCTTTAGACCACCTCCTCCCACAAGGCCACTTCCAGTTACCATTCAAGATACACTTCCATCTCCCACTAATCTTTTGATAAAGAGTTGAATATTGCTTCTTAGCTGGAGTATCTTCCTCCATGCCCAAGAGGAGTCACTTAGTACTTTTACCCCCAAATAGAATGACCTTTCAGCAAAATTTCAGGCACCCACTTGACCCAAAGGGAGTCCTTCTTAGTACAGATATTCCACAGAAGCTTCATGATCAGGCACTTGTTTTTATTCTGCAAGATTGAATAAGCCCAGTCCACCCTCTTTCTTAGGAGTACACACATCATTCTAGAAGACTTTGGGGTTATAATGCTGCTTAACTTCTCCTGCCCTTAAGAAGGTTGATAACATGCTATGATCAATCTTTCTGACAACTGACTTTGGCAAGATAAAAGCACTCCCCCAATAAAGATGAATACGATTGAGCACACCTTGGATCAACTGGAGTCTTCCACCATAACTGAGCTTTTTGTTTTCCCAATTTTGAATCTTGCTAAATATTGATTGACAATCCTTCATAGATAGTCTATAGGTAATAAGTGGCAGCCCAAGATACTTTACTAGCAATTCCGCTCTAGGCATATGAACAATGTTGCATAGCTCATTATCTAAACTATCAACAGTTCCGGCTAGGAAAACTTGACATTTTTGGAAATTTGGCTTAAGACCAAATAACTCTCCAAACTCATGTATATTGTGATTAATTAACTGAAACGATTCAGGAGAAGCACCAGTTAAGAGGAAGAGATCATCAGCAAAGGCCAAGTGGGATAGTCCAGCCTTTCCACATTTCAGATGGAAGACAAAACCACTTTTATGAGCAATGCTCCATTCAAACACAGCAGTAAAAGCTGCCATGGCAATAGTGTGATAATAGTGCTGTTTAGAGGCATATACATGTAGTTGTGAGAAAAACAAAATTGCAAAGCATCAATAACCTCTTTACCAACCAGTTGCCAATTTGTTTTGAAGAATTCAGCGTAGAAGCCATCCTGGCCTGGAGGTTTTCCACCTTTTATCTGGAATACTGCATTCTTTAATCCCTGCTCAGTTATCTCAGCTTGGAGATTAAGCCTCTATTCATCTGAAAGCTTATTGGATAGGACTTGGTGTAGTCTGGAGTTGTCAGGATTGAGATTCTAACTGCTAAATAATTGCTTGTAGAAGTCCACAGCCATCTCCTTAACTTTCTAATAGTCCTTGACAGTTTCACCATCATCAGCTTACAATGCCACAATTCTATTTTTTGCTGTATGGTTAGCTACCTGTCTATGAAAATATTTTGTGTTTTTATCACCTGCTCTAAGCCACTCCACCCTGCCTTCGTCTCTATAGAAAGCCTCTGCTGCCTTAAGGAGATCAATATACTCCATTTTTACAATCTTTTCCAGTTGAATAACATTTTCATCAGAAGGTTGTCCAGTGAGTGATTTCTGAATCAGACATAACTGCTCCCTTTTTTAAGCACTCTAAGCGAAGTGTTATCAAAAAATTCCTTATTGAACTCTTTAGCTTTAAGGACTCGCGCTTTTGACAAATGCTTCTGACTGGGCTGGCTTGAGAATCATCCTGGTCTAACCATATCTGATGAAGATCTCTCCAGACTTTTGATGACTCATCCAAAAACATGGAACTTGTAAGGCTTTGGGCCAAATTTTAACTCAGAATTAATGGATATTTGTATAGCAGAGTGATTAGAAGTACCAGGAAGAAGGAATTCTGCTTCAGTAATAGGGAAACCAGAATACCATTCTTTATTTACAAAAAACTCTTTTTAATTTTACTATATACACGCCCACCATCTTCTCTCTTATTACACACACTGTAGAAACAGCCCTTAGCAGGAAATTCACCAATGTCTAGAGTATCAATTATTATATCATTGAATGCAGAAATAGCACCAAGGTCATATTCTAAACTTCCCAACTTTTCAGAATAGTTCCTGATGATATTAAAACCTCCCATTATAATCCAGGGAATCCCATCAGCAAGAGGTTTAAGACTATGAAAGTGATCCCAAAATGGTCTCTTCTCTTCAACTTTATTTATCGCGTAGACCATAGTTACTATAAACATATCAAAACCAGGAAATTCCACGAAACATGCAATACACTACTTATGAATTTTAAGTACAGAGCAGGTCATATCATTTTTCCAGCAGTAAATAACTCTACATACACTACAAATACTACCATTGTGCACATAATGCCAATTTGGCAAACATTTCTTCATAACTCTATCCACATTTTCAATACGGAGCTTATTTTCAGTAATACCAAGCATACTAGCTGTAGTACGATTCACAATCTTTTGAATTTCTGATTGTTTAACAGGGTCATCCAACCCCCTAATCTTCCAGCATACTAAGTTCATTATGTAATTGAGGGATAGAGATTATTACTCGTGCGTTTCCTTGCACCTGTGCCCAATTTTTCACCTTTCTGATGTACTTCTTGTGAGAATTCTGACCTCTACAGGTTTTTTCCCAATTCAAGATTCAGCCTCACACCACCTGAGCTGCCATTCCCAACTAAAATAGGTCCAGCTTCTGTAGAAACTGAGATTGTACCTGTTTGAGCAGAGTTAGACCCCAGTTGAGTCACTCGACCTGTAGCCTTATTTGAGCAATCATCCACCTTAGTATATCTAGGAGCCACTACATTATCCTCTTCCAAGCCAACCAATTTCTCTGCTTTTTCTTCATGCACTTTCCCAACTGATTTGGAAATATCACCTTTTGATTCCTTCGATAGCCTTTTGGTAGTTTTAGCCACCAATGGGCACATTTTCACATTATGTCCAAATTTCTGGCAGTGAGAACACCTGACTGGAATCCATTCATACCCTATTGGCTAATTCCCCAAATTCATAATAATAAGGTTAAATTATGTATAACCCTGGTTTTAATCTATTGCCATGTGATCCCCTAACATCTTAAAATATCCATTTCACCCCCTATAATTTTTTGTAAAGTGGAAATTTGATGGAAAATAGCCTGTTTATTGACATTAGTTGAAATACCAATAGTTCTTTTACTTAAATGCTAATCAATCAATGGCTTAACCATCTTTATAAAGATATAGGGAGATTATAAATAAGTGCAAAAATCACAGAGGGTAAAGTGGATATTATACAAACTATAAGGAAGTCATATGAATATTAAGAATATATCACGCTGACTTTGAAATTGATATAAACACTATAATTGATTGTGCATTCCGTTCATTTTCCACTTTACACAAAATCACAGGGAGGTTATGTGATTATTTTAAAATTTTATGGGGGTTATTTGGCATTATGTAAAATTGCAGGGGTTAATAAGTAATTTAATCCTTGTAATAAGAATTTTTGAAGGCCTAGGGGCGTCAATCCTTAACTCAACACAAATTCTAGCATAAGCAACATGATCCT